AGCAAAAGGACGAAGAAGTATAAAAAAAAAAAAAAAAAAAAAAAAAGATGGGGGGGGGGTGTTTCTCAGTTCCTCCAAGAACATCTTTTCTTTTTCCTCAGGAAGAAATCCAGGCTCGCCTACAGGCTTTAAAGGAGGAGAGAGAAAAATTCCTGGAGAGCAGAAAAAACAGAGTAAGGAAGAACGCTTACCTGGTAGGTGTCCTCCAGCGGGAGCCTGGTGGAAGGTGGCACTCTCCACCCAACCCCGGCATTGCTGGTGTATTTTGAGGCTGGATCTCACGTATTTGAGTTGCGGAGTGTTGTGCAGTTTGCTCGGGGGCGCCGGGCCAAGCCTGTGGTTATCTGCTGGGGTTTCACATCAGCTGGAGCCTGCACTGGGGAGATAAGACTGCAGTTCCTCCGCAAGGGAGCTGGGAGGGCAGAAGGTCCCCAGCCTGGTGTAGAGAGATGGGCTGGAAAGGGTTTTTTCCCCCCCATAAACTCTATACATCTTCATCTTCCTAAAGGGGCCCTACAGGAGAGCTGGGGAAGGACTTTTGACAAGGGCTTGTAGGGATAGGATGAGGGGGAATGGCTTCAAACTGGAAGAGGGGAGATTTAGATTAGGTATTAGGAAGAAATTTTTCACTGCGAGGGTGGTGAGCCCCTGGGGCAGGTTGCCCCGAGAAGCTGTGGCTGCCCCATCCCTGGAGGTGTTCACGGCCAGGTTGGACGGGGCTCAGAGCAACCTGGGCTGGTGGGAGGTGTCCCTGCCCAGGGCAGGGGGTTGGAACTGGATGATCTTCAAGGTTCCTTCTAACCCAAACCATTCTATGGTCTTGCAGAGCCCAGTTGAGGTTGCACCTTTCGGTTTTGCTTGCAGGCCAAGCCTCCCGAATAACCCCCTTCTACTACCCAAATCCCCAGCGAGATGGCTTGGTGCTAAATTCACCCTTGTATTGACTGGATACCACCTGAGACCAACCTGGTGGCCTTGAAGCACTCATCTCTTTTTCTTGGGTGCGGTGAGATTTTTCTCTAAACCCCATCACCTCCTCCTGCCCATCTTGCGGAGCTTCACCTGAGGCTACCCCGATTCCTTCTGCAAAGGCCATCGCAGCCCCACAGATGTGCCCCTAATAGGATCTAGAATGATGTAAAAAATAATCAACGAGGGAAGTTTTTGCCAGTGTCGCAGGTGCTAGAGTCGCAGAGATGACTGCAGCATGCCTTCTCCAGCACAGGGAGGTCTCCTGCTCCTCTTTCAATCCCCTTTGCCTCTCATCCCGGCAGGAGAAAACCAAAAACGAAGGGAAGAAGATAGTGTGTGAATTCGAGCAACTGCATCAATTTTTGAAGGACCAAGAGCGCCTCCTCCTGACCCAGCTGGCAGACCTGGACAGGGCCATCACCAGGGTCCAGGAGGAAGCAGTGGCAAAGGTCTCAGAGGAGATGTCCCACCTCGACACCCTGATCTGGGAAATGGAGGGGAAATTCCAGCAACCAGCAAGCCAATTCCTGCAGGTGAGAGCCCAAAGCATCAGGGGTGGTGGGGAAAGGAGGGACGGAGCAAAGCCTGAGACCTGGGAGCCCAAATTCAGCCCCATGGGAGCTCCCTGGTGTCTCCTAGCATTGCTGCAGGTGGGATCATCACATCCATAGGGTCCTTCTTTGCTACCGCATTGCCATAAACTATGTTAGGAGACCCAGCGCTTGTTGTTCCCCTTCCCCAACCATCTCTCCTCTCTCTTCCCACCTTTAGGACATCAGAAGACTCTTGAAGAGGTAACTTGGCTCCGTCTGACTTTCCACACACTCTGGTGCTCGGAGAGGTCTGGGGGACACCTGGGTGAATCCGGAGGTCGGGGTGTCAGACCAGATGGATGCGGTTGATAGCTCAGCCTCCCACGAACGGCGCTTTGTGTTCAGAAACCTCTGTTCAGCGACAGCCTGGGGCAAAAAAACTGCGGAGAAACAGGGCAGGGGGGAAAAGGGGGGGATTTTATTTGCTCCTGGATAAGTATCCTCAGCCCATCCCTTAGTTTCTCCTGGATTATTTAATGAGAACAAAATGAGCAATCAAATACATCACACACACACACTTTGCTGTTTGTTTGTTTTCTCCCCTCTTCTGCTCTCCTTGCAGTTGCGAGATGATGAAGTTCAACCCCCCCGTGGAGATTTCCGCCGATCTGGAGAGAAGACTTGAGGACTTTGTTCAGAGAAACGTCCTCGTGAGAGGCACGCTGAGGAAATGCCAAGGTACCAAAGGCACGTTGCCTTTTGTGCGCGATATTTGGGACAAACTGGGTTCTTGCGTGCTGGCTGCTAATGCAAAACCCACCTAGTAGCTGTTGTAAATAAACCCAGCCGAGAATTTTAACCAGAGAAGGACACCGACGTTTTTTCCTGGGGCAGAAAGAGTTGGGAAGTGGAGAGGAGAGGAAAAAACAAGCCCAGCGAAGGAGTCTCTCCTCCCGCACCCCACGTGAAAAGCAAATTTAGAGCTGCTGGTGCGGTTGTTCCCACCGCTTGCAAGCTGGTGGGAAAATTGAAGTTGCACGTGGGTACAAAGCCAGGGAGGGGGTGATGCAACACAGGGGGAAGAAATCTGTTGCAGTGTCTCCTGCAGATGAGTTTAGCTTGGCCAGGAGGTTCATCTCCCCTGGCTTTGGGAGACTTCGTGTGGCGATACCTGCACCAGAGCGAGTCAACCCACAGCCTTCGCACCCCCAAAATCCCCTCTCCCAAGTCTCCCTTTAGCTGTTTCGCCTCCCCAGCCTGCACGACAAAGCTAAGCTGCAGCTGCTTTGCCTGACACGTGGACCTGACACCGCGAAATCTCTCTCCTCTTTAGACAGCCTGATGTTTAAATTGCAAGAGCCAAGTAAGTCGGTGGTAGCGGGTGGGAGAAAAACGGGGTTTTGGCTTGTGGAAGAGATTCCCTATGGAAAAAAAAAAACCCAATGCAACCCTCCCCCCCCCCCCCAGGAAAGTAGCGGGTGGGAGAAAAACGGGGTTTTGGCTTGTGGAAGAGATTCCCTATGGAAAAAAAAAAACCCAATGCAACCCCCCCCCCCCCCCAAGGAAAGGAAGGGAAGGGTGGCAGCATCCTGATGGTGATGCTCCTGGTGTACCCAGGGGCTGAGACATGGTCCTGATAAAGCCAAATGCCCCTCTGGGACCCAAAGAAAGGGAACACCTGAGCAGAGCATTTGTTTTTCCCCTTCCCTCCCCACGACTTTCCCACCATCCGCTCCCCATGCTTTGTCCTCTCCCCCTTCTCCTTCCACCCCAGAGGCATCTCTGCTGGGGCACCCCGAAGCTATGACCAGCCCCAGACCTGCCCATGCCCCCCATGAAGCCTCCAGAACTGGGAGAAGCAGGAGAGCAGGGCTGGTCCCAGACGCTGGGAGGAAAAGAAAGATCTCCAGCATCTCCTGGGGCCAAGTCCTACCTCCAATGCTTTGGTTGTCCCTTTTCCTGCAGCCAACGTGACCCTGGACCCAGCTACGGCTCACCCCAACCTTCACCTCTCCGAGGACCAAAAACAAGCCAGGGGCCAGCTGACACAGCAGGACCTCCCAGACAACCCGGAGAGATTTGGCTTTGAACCCTGCGTGCTGGGTTGTGAGGGCTTCACCTCGGGGAGGCATTTCTGGGAGGTGGAGGTGGGGCAGGGGGGCGTCTGGGCCCTGGGGGTGGCCCGAGCATCGGTCAAGAGGAAGGGACCGATGAGCCTCACCCCCAAGGAGGGGGTCTGGGCGCTGGAGGCTTATCATTCCCTCACATCCCCCCGGGCCAACCTGCGCCTGAACCCCCTCCCCAGGAGGATACGGGTCTCCTTGGATTATGAAGGGGGGCGGGTGGCGTTTTTCAGCGCAGACGATGACATTCCCATCTTGGTTTATACCAGAGCGTCCTTCAACGGGGAGAGGGTCTTCCCCTGGTTCAAGATGGGGATAGGGGCTCGTTTGCAAGAAATCACCCAAACCCCACCCTCAGAGGACCAGTCCATGAGCGGGCAGCTGATGTCCCCTCTGGACTGGGTAGGGTTCAGGTTTCCCCTCCGGATCTGTCCTTGAGATGTCTGTCAATCAGACCTTAATGAAAGGGACATCTCCTGTGTGATTGCCAGCTGTTTTGCTGTGGTCGCTCAAGCCGAAGGAACTTGCTGGTCCTCTCCCGTGTCCATCTCCACTGGGAGCTTTGGGATGGCACCCGTACGGCAGAGATGGTAAGATGGGACACCAGCAGACAGCAGTGAAGAGGAAGGATCAGGCCGCACGAGGTGATGGAGTCGGCACATCAGAAGGAAGGGAACATTGAAGGGTGGATCAAGGATGGAGAGCACTCAGGACTTTCAAGCGTGTGGTCTTTTAAAATTGATTTTGCCTTTAATGGACTGAATCCTCCGGTTTATATCTCTTTCCAAAGTGTTTTCTTTCTGACATCAATTACAAGGCAGATCCAGAGTCTGTTCTACCAAGGGAGGTGGCCTTTCACTACAGACTGGCTTGGTTTGGGGAGCTGGTCTGTATCTCTGTCTACATTTCTGATATTTATTTTAAATAAAAGAACATTTTGTTTTGCACTCTCCAGTTTCTGCCTTGCTATGGGTGTATTATCCCAGATTTCTTAGCTTTTGGGTCAACAAGATTAAGAAAAGCTGCACAGGATGGGGACACCTCGCTTACCTTTCTACCTTCTCATGGTGGACCTCCAGTCATTCAATCCCCTTTGCAGGCGGTGAAGGGAAACAAAACCACCTGGAATGCAATTTTCCACACCATTATACACGTCAAGCTTCCAGGATAACTCCCAAGAAAAGCCTGTTTCTCCTCATTGGCTGTTCAGGAGGGACAAGGTGGGATAAATCATACCAGGGACTCCTGTGGCTGGGCCGGTTAGATATTCCTTGACAATAAAAGCAGCTGGAGTGGATAGGGGAAATGCAAGTTCTGGCATTTTCACCTAACTCACCTACATTGATTCCCTCAAAAACTGCTGATTTTCTTCCGAGGAAACCCAAAAGAGGAAGAAGGGTCACCAAAATAAATACACGTTATTGATTATAGAACCGTGAAGAGGAACCAGAAGAAGGAGTGGGAGGGAGCGAGCGACGTTGGGCTCAGAATAACAGACAAGATATGAGTGGGCCCCCCCGTGACGAAGCCCCATCTCACGATCCCCACGGGTCCCACCAAGGGCAAACTTACAGCTGGTATTTCGGTGCGGTTTCTCCCCTCCATCCATACTCCTCAGTCCGGTAGCATCGCTGTCTCTTGGACCCATCAGTTGGGAAAACACGGGATCCCGCTGCAGGATAGACATCTGCTTTCTGCAAAGCCAACCCAAAATCACTGCGGGAGGTCAAGCATGATGATTTATTAAAAAAAAAAAAAAAAAAAGGGGCAATTGGGGCTACTAGGAAAGACTTTTGAGCAAACAATGTTGAATATTTTTCCTCTTTCTCCTTTCCCTTTGCCACATCTCTGGCGGGGAGGAGTATGGTCCTACGTGTCACCTTGTGTGTTGGGTCCATGTCCTGACAACGATTCAAGTCCAGCAGGGAAAGGTGGAGGGTAATATGAACAGACAGGCTGTTGGTGCAGGAAGGACCAAAGAAGAAAACCTGAGTAAATTTGGGGAAAAGCTCTTGAGATGTTCTGCAAGGACAAGTTTCAGTTGCTGGAGGTCCCTGAACCACCATGGTCCCACCATGGCCCTCTCAGAGGCTGAAAAACACAATACACAAAACACCGAATCCCAGTAAAACTCGGTGTTTTCTTTGGAGGTAGAGATTGATGTTTTCCTGACTCCTTCAGGGCCACAGGTTCCCTCCACATCTCTGGTCTCCACCTAGCTCTCTCCCAGGGTGTCCCTTCGCTCTAGAAATCTGCAATGCAGATGTCTCCACCCCAGCTGGTTTTCCAGGCTCTGGAGACGCTTTTAGGGTGCGACTCATTTGCCCAACCGTAGGCACCTAATTTTGAGATGAAAGGAGCTTTGCCCGAGGCTCTGCCGATGGTGCAGAGCCACCAAGGAGCAAAGCAGCCCAGCTCAGAGGGAGGATGCCTCATTAGATGACAACATTCCCTTGGTTGCACCCACCTCCTTCGTCTGGCAGGACGGATTGCCTCCCAACCCACTCACCCCAGGCCACGCTTCCCTGGGAAGTGGTTGCAGGGCGTTTGCTTCCAGCGACTCCCCGGCGGCTTTTCCTGACGGGAATAGTTTGCGTGGAAATGAGACTTGTGTCTCCAAACCTGGCCAAGTGATGGTGGCTGGGAGAGTTATCTCAGTCCTTCAGCTGGGACACAGTGACTCCATCTCTAGAAATCCCAGGTGCCACGCAAAAAAGATGGAGCCATGGAGCTTAACAAAGAGACGGCGGGTTATTAATTCCTTAGAAACATTTCCCTGTGAGCTCAGAGCCAGGACTGAGCTTCTTGGAGGGCACGTAGTGATGGGCGACACGTTCATGGCCAGGAGTCCCAAGGACCCCAGCTTGTCCCCCTTTATGCACATTGAGTTACAGCCCCTCTTCCAGCACCTACAAAGTTCTGGTTGCACGTTTCCCTCCTCGTTGTCTTATGCTTTCCCCATCCACGGTCCCACCAAGCCTCAAGAGCTCCTCACCCTCCTGGTAGCCTGAACGTCTTTTGCCTCCAGCACTTTTGTGGGAGGGTTGATGGCTTTGCCCTAAAAAGAGAAGGACAAAAGCAGTGAGGTGACAGCCCTCCACAGCTCCTCACAAGCTGGAAGATTAACAAGGGAGAAACAAGATGCTCCCAGCACATCAGGCCAAGGGTGTCACCACCTCCTGCCCAGGAGACATGGCGCAAAAAGCTGCCTTGCAGGATCAACGCATCCGCGCCGCAGTTTTACCCAAGACTTGGGAAGGAACAGGAAGAGAAAGAGCCAGCCCCATCAAAGGGATAAAAAACAACAGGTTTTTTTAGTTCGCTTCGGAAGAAATTCAGGCGGGTGTTAAGTTTTCCAAAGGAAGAGAGAGAAGGTCTCCAAGGAAGGACAGCTACCCTGGAGTGCAGAAAACTGGAGGATCTGGTAGGTGTCAACCTCCCCGACCTCTCAAGTCACTGGGCAGTAATACACCGACTTTAGGGCCACTTCTTTAGATCTTTTTTGGTTGCTTTGTGCCACTGCTGTGCCGGGAAGCGCGGGGATATCATGGCTTTCTGCCCAAGTTCATGCAAGTGTGTTTGTGGCTTTTATCAGCATCTTTCCTCCCAAACCTGTGTTGCTTTTTCACATCAAGTTTGACTTTTTTTTTTTTTTTCCCCCCACCACCACCCAGATTTCCCCAGGAATTCAAGAAAAATTAGTAGGGATTTGGGCTCAGGGGCGATCTCCTGTGGGAAATGCCTTTCCGTGAATTCCTCCTGGTATTTCCCCATCCCACTGCTCCTTCGTTTGCATCTTAAAAGGGGAGGACAGAAGCTGAGCCCTACCAGACGGTGCTTGGATTTAAGGCACGCTGCAGGTCCCAGGAGGACTCAAGCTCTTCTTGCTTTCGCAGCTGGAAGACCTGAAAAATGAGATTGAGAAGAGGCAGGCAAAAAACGCCACCAAACTCTCGGAGATTTCCCAGCTGGACACCCCGACACAAGGGCAAGAAGAGAAGAATCGGCAATCGGTGAGTGAAATCACCCAGTTTACAGCTTTTCAAGGGAAAATTGTAGGGAGGGTCCTCCCCACCAGGCAGCTACGGGCTTAATTAGTTGGGTTTTCCTCATTCCAGCTTGCTCCTATTCCCTCACTAGATCTGAAAACCTCAAGGGGATGAGGAGAGGGAGATTTGCAGCCTGGAAAGATGGGGAAAGAGAGGGGGGAAGGATCAAATCACTGTCAGCGGCAGGGAAGGGTGAGGGCTGGTGGTTCCCTATGGGATGGGGAAGCACGGCAGTGCAGGGAGCAAGAGCATCACCAGCCTTCAGCCCATCTTTGGGGTACCTGAGAGAGGGGAGCATCCATGGGCAGGAGGTAGGGCTGAAGGTCACCTGGGAATGCAGCCTGTGCAAGGTCCAAAGCCGTGCTCCTCCAAGGCATCTTGCAAAAGGACTAATTGCTCCAGGACTGAGCTTAAATAACCCCCCTGGCCAGGTGGGTGAGGTCTCAGGTGGGGCTGATCAGGGTCATTAACGTCTGGTGGAGACCCTGGTAGTCTGCCGTGGTATAATGGGGTTATGGAGCAGGCAGAGGTGGCATCTTAGAGGTGTCCAGCAAAAGGATGAGAGGCAACTAGCACAGGTTGCAGCAAGATATGTTTTTTTCTAGATTTGGGGAAAAAAATGTTTTCCTTCTGAATGCGGTGCCTCCCTGGGTTGGGGTCCCTCTAGATGTGGACATCTCCAGCCATTCAGACCTTGCCTGGACACAGCCCAGAGCGGAGGGTTGGAGCAGAGACCCAAGAGGTCCATCCACAGCTAAACAATTCAGCGCTGTTGTGATTTTAGGAGACAAGGTCACGCTGACCTTCCTTTTCTCTTTCTCTCTCCTTTCCCAAGGATGTGAAAAGCACCATCAGCAGGTACGTGGCCTCCTGTGGCTGTTTCATGAGCTTTTCAAAGGGCGATGACCACGGAGAAGAAAACTCATCGGTGGCTGCCGAATACACCTTTGCTTCAGGGAAACTGCAAGAGTCTGGAGGGGTATTTTGGGGACCATTGCCACGTGGATGTCCCTGCACTTCCCAAGGGATTCCTCTCTTGACCACTTCTGGGGGACGTGCTGATCAAAGGAGCTTTAGCCTCAAAATGACCTCTACGTGGCGAAGGCTGGCTTTAATTTTGCTGCAAAGTTTTGGCTCTTTTCTCTAGCCCAGTCCTCTCAAGCTGGACCTTTCTCATAGTCTACATAAAAAATAAAATTAAAAAAAAAAATAAAATTAATCCAACGGGGAAATTTGGCCTTTACTTTCTTTGCAGTTTGGGTTGCCAAGGGGGTGAAATTAAAATAAACCAACGTTTTAGCAATACCACCTCATTTCTGGTGGCATCAGATTTCCTGAAATGATGACAATCACTCCAGAAAATGTGGGATGTTTTGTTGTTTTGTTTTTATTTGCCCCCAGGTGTGGGAAAGTGACTTTCCAGTTGCCAACAGACGTTTCTCCGGAGTCGGAAGAAAGAGTCTGTCACTTCTCGTGGAGGAACAGCGCTCTGAAGGAAACTCTGAAGAAGCTACAAGGTACTGAGAAGGGCTTGAGGTGGAGAAAAAAATAGACTAGCCGTATTTTGGGGAGAGCTGGAAGAGGTGAGCTGCCCTTAGCTCATTCTGGATACACTTTGGGAGCAGAAATACTGCAGAGAGAAACCCCGAAGTGGAGGAGAGGGTGGGCAAAGGGCTTTTCCTGGTCAGAAGAAATGACAATTTGATACCACCTTAATGCCTGGTTTATCACTCTCTTAATTATACGTGTCTTGCCCTAATTCCTGAAGGATGCTCGTGGGTGAAGGATGGGCTGCTCTCTAGCTCGGTTTCCCCCTCTGGCGTAGCCTTTCCCAAAATTGGGTCCTGCTGAGCGTGAGAACGTAAGCTGTACCTGTCAGGTGAAGGTGCACCTAGCCCAAAGTGGCCAAAAATAGGCACTGAGGGAAGAATACGAAAATCAGGGCAACCCAACAAGTTTTCTTAGCCCCGCAGCTGGAGCCTCCGCGTAACGCTGGAGGAAACCTGCTCGGGGGCAGAGCCCTTGCCTTGAAACCCAACCATTTCCCTGAAACAAATATGGAAATGGATTGACCCAATTCATCACCTCGTCTTCGGGTTTTAGCTCTTTTTTTTTTTTTTAAAAAAAAAAAACCAACAAAAACCAAACCCACATGCTCAGCCAAACCAGTCTGGTCTTGTCCTGCGGTTGCTGTAGGAGACAACCTGCTCGAGACTTTGCTGGTTTACACCCCACATACGGTTTGCCTTAATTTTTTTTTTCTCCCCTCAGCGTTTATAATTTGCCCCGACGTGGCTCAAAGTCTGTAGCGATTTCTGCATGAGCCTGTTGCCACTACTGTGCACCTTTTCTTTTTGATTTTTTGGGGTTAAAACCAGCTTTTCTGCTTCACGTCCAGCACCCTTCCCCTTGGGGATGCTTCCATCTTGAGATGCTTCCATCTTGAGATGCTTTTTCCCCTCAGATGCCAGCCTGGGTCCTGCTGGCCCCCTCCAAACCCCCTTTCCAACATCCCTGGGATGCTCAGCCTTGCTTCTCACACCCCTGCCCCCCACCCCACAGCCATCGTGACCTTGGACCCCGACACGGCTCACCCCGACCTCATCCTCTCCGAGGACCGTAAGAGCGTGAGACGCGGGGAAAGACGACGGGACCTGCCAAATAACCCGGAGCGATTTGACTACTGGCCCTTCGTGTGAAAGGGCATCTCAGCCTCTGCCCTCAAGGAGGCATCTGGGGGGTGGAGAAGTGGGGGGGACAAGTCCGCGCGCTCACCACCCGCAAGGTGACCCTCCTACCCCTCCGTTGGGTACCCCGGAGGGTGAGCGTCCACTTGGACTATGCCGGAGGGACAGTGGCGTTTTTTGACGCTGATGAGGGGGGACTCATGTTCATTTTTTCCCGTGCTGCCTTCACCGGGGAGAGGGTCCGCCCATGGCTCTGGGTGGTGGGGGCAAGGTCCCAGCTCAGGCTGTGTCCCTGAGACATGGGGAGCAGCATCCATCCCTCCAGTTTTGACAGCCTCAAGGGACCACCGCATGTCCCCCACGGGACCAGAAGAAATGGGGACTTCTGCTTTTGTGTTTCCTTCTTCTGCATGAAACTGGAGGGAGAGGGTTGATGCACAGAGAGAAGAGCCAAATGAGGCAAAGAGAGAGCACCCTGGGGCATGGAAGTGGATATTGGTGGGGGAAAAAAAAGGTGAAAAAATCCAGTGTGACAGTGATGCAAAAGCAAATTTTCCCAAGTTTGCCTGACTAAGTAGAGATGTCCCCATCTGAGCCAGATACCCCTAAAGCAAAAGGATCCAGATGTCACCCGTTTGTTTTTTTTTTTCTCCCAACCACCCAATGGGTGCAAATTGCCTTAAAACAGACATGTTCTCCCTAATAAAGGATCCTGTGGTGGCTTTCAGATGCAGACATCTGCACCTGTGAGTTTCGGATGTCAGGTGAGGTCTATCCCAGCCTTCAGTGCTGCAACATGGAGTCTTACCACCATGGTGATCTTTGCTGATGGAAAGTTCACACATGGCAAAGCTCCTGAGCCTCAATTATTTCCTCTCTTCTCCAAAAACTGGTATTTGAAACCTCCACAATGTAGATAATTAATAATAAAGAAAACCCACAACACCATAATTTTTTTCCCCTCTGTGTCTTTCCCTCTGGTTGGGACTACCAGCAGGCAGGAGAGCAGCGTGGCACAGGGCTTCCAAGGATGTCCCTAGGACTTTTGTGGACCAACTCACTTGGAGCCAACTCACACTTGTGCAAATACCAGGAATGGGATTCAGTTAAACAAAACTTCAGCTTCCCGCCTTGAACCCGACATCCAGAAGGAGCAAATAACCAGAGAAGAACATTTCAGCACATAAATCTTTTTACTTCCTCTAAAACCAGTAGTCAAGCTGGTGGAGGATGCTGTGGGGCAGACGTGGTTCCACATTTGTCAGCCGCTGATGCCCCAGATTTGGGGGTGACCATGTGGGACACTGACCCGCAGAAACACTCAACCCTTTGGCAGCACAGAGAGGCCAGAAAAGTCAACTGGGACTTCATTATATGGAAGTCCTCCAGAGTGCTGGAAATTGGGATGTTGGGGACGTAAAACTTGCGTTTGGGTAAGAAGGGAGAGCTTCAGGCACACAATGTGATCTGGGAGCCCTCGCTCCACACCAGGAACCAAGGGTGAATACTGTCCCCTTTAAAGGAAGCTGCTGGGAAAGTGAATATCAGGGCCCTCTTATCAGCATCAAAAAATGCCACCTGACCCCTCTCATAGTCCAGGGCAACCCGGACCCTTCTGGGGACCTGGATGTGGTAGAGCGGGAAACGCTCAAGGGAGGTGAGAGCCCAAAACTGACCATCACAGAGGCCCATAGACCAGAGCTCTATGTCGGAGCTCACAGCGGTCTCTTCCCTCCTCTTCAGGGACTCCCTGGCCACCCCCACGGCCCAGGAGCCTTTGGGTGTCACATCCACCTCCCAGCAGCATCTCCCAGCGGTGATGCCCTCGCAGCCCAGCACACAGGGATCGGTGTTGAACCTCTCAGCAGATGGGTCCTGCTGGGCATCTTCCCACCTCACGCTCCTCCCGTCCGCCGACACGACGAGCTGGGGGTGAGCCGTGGATGGATCCAGGGTCACCTTCACTGCAAGGGGCAGAGAGTAGAGCATCAAAGGAGGCCAGCCCCATTTCCCATGGCCTCGGGTTCTGCCTCACTGCTGGGGCTGAGTGGGGAGGTCCTACAGCACCATCTACCCCACGGCTTGGGATGCTCTGCCCTTGCTGCAGGGGCAGACGTTGGTTGCTTTCCCCATTCCACAGGAGCCAGGAAAGCATCAGAAGAAGATTCCCAAGGGAGTAAGAGAACAGGCCTCAAGGCAGATGAGTAGGAGACCCCTGCCCTTGGGGTTTTTGTGCCAAAACCACCAAAGTAGGCATTTGTTCCTTGAACAAGGTGAAGGTCAGAGCAGTCTTCGCACAGCTTAGCGGCTCCATTGAAAGAAATGAATCCATCAAGACATTATGGTGAGGATTCCCTAAATTCTTACGCTGTTTTAGCCCCGCCCCCCGCCCCATTGATTGTTTTGTTCAGACACAGCAGCATCTTCCCCAGATGACCCTCCAATTCATGGCCCATCCCATGTTGGGTTCAGCCTTCCCATTCCCCTCTCACCTCCAGGCGATGTGGACTTACTCTTTTCAGGCAGCTCAAACATCAGGATGTCTAAAGAGGGGAGAAGAGACATTGTCCAATATAACACGCCGGTGTCAGTGTGAATGTGTAAACAGAGAGGTTGTTCTGCCACACTGAGGTCACATATACAACCACAATAAAACATAATTTATCCTTTAAGTAAATAAATACAATTTATGCTCGCACAGGTATTGCTCCACCTCCCAATCCCAGCCCACACTCAATACCTTGGAAGCTCCTCAGAGTCTCCTCCAGAGCAGTATTTTTCTCCCCAAAGTGGCCGATTTTCTTTTCCAGCTCTGGCAGGAGCAACTGGGGCTGCTGGAAATTTTCCTTTTCAAACCTGGAGAAGGAGGACAGAAAGAAGAGGGGAGGATGTTTCTTCTCAGAGAGAGAGACCAAGAAGTCTTTTGTGTGTACCCACAGCTCAGAAGAGTCGGTGCAGGCTTTAATAAACCTGCTGGACCTTCAAAGATGGGTAGGGACACCTTTGCTCAGAGCCACTGTTCACAAAGCCAAATATTTGGCCTCTGGGTGAGGCCAAACACAAGGTCCAACCTCCCCTTCCCAGCCTGTGGGGTAGAAGAGAAGCTCAGGAAGCCCCATACCTGCTCAAGGTGCCTCTGATGTCCTGGAGGGAAGAGAGGGAAGAAGAAACTCAGTGAAGGGGGGTCTTTGGTGGTGAAACATCTACTGAAACCTCAGCAGCATTGGATGTGGCTTTGGAGGAGAGCGCAGCCTGGGTTTGGTTGCACCATGGGGCAATACCCAGAGCCAGAAGATCGCCTGGACCCCAGAGGTGATAACCTGGCTCCATTCCTTTCCCCCTCACCTGCAGAAATTTGCTGGCGGGTTGTTGGCACTTCTCCTCCATCTCCTGGATCAAGGTATCCAGACGAGAGATCTCCTTTGTCAGACTGGTGACGTTTTCTTCCTGCATTTTCTCAATGTCCCTCTCCAGGTCCCTGAGCTGAGCCAGCAGATGACGGGCATGGTCCTCCAGGAAGAGACGCAACCCTTCGAACATGGAGAAAACCCTCTGCCGCTCAGCTTCGGTCTTCTCCTGTGAGGAGGGGACACAAGAAGGGAAGAGGGGGGTGGAGAAGGATGCAGCAAACTCCTACGCGTCCCAGTGACTGCACACCTAGAAAGAGTCAGTGTCTTGAGTATCTATATATATATTTTACTTTGCATTCAGCAGTTGAGTCCCTTGCATGGCTCTGCTCGTTATTTCTCCCCCCACCCCCCACCCCCTCCTACAATGCAGAGAAGATTCCGGCAGCGTTTGGTACCTGGAAAGGGTCCCCAGCCCCAAGGGACCATCTCCTACACTGGCTTTAGAGGAGATGCTAAGAGAGCCATCCGGACCCCCATCCTTCCTCATAAAAAACATTTACCAAGTACTCCCAGCTTCTCCTCATTTCAGCCTCCCGAAACCCCAGGAGTTTGTCTCTCTCTTCCTTCAGGGTTTGCAGATGAGCCTGGATTTGTCCCTAAGGAAAAAAATAAAATAAAATAAAGGCTCCGTGTATCTGGAGATGGAGACAGCAAAAAGAAAAAAAAAAAACAAAAACAACTCTGGGGAAGTGGTGGAGCTCTGGTCAGCTCCAGAGCTTCTCCTTGTGTCCCTCTTGGTCCAGAAGGAGCTGGAGACCTGGGCATGGAAATAAATGCCGTATAGTGGAAAAAGCTTTCTACGCCAGCCTTTCCCTGTGTTGGATCCTTTCTCTGAGCTGATTTAACTCACTGATGCATCAAGAAAAAATATCCCTGTTTTTATTGACCGACATTCCCGCTGTTTTGGAGAACATCTTGGGATCAGTGGATAACCAGTAAGCACCAGAGCTGGACAAAGGCTTGAATTTTTCAGCAAGGAAGAGGGGGTTAAAACCTCACCCCGTAGGTTCTCAGATGAGAACTGAGACAGCAGAAGCACCGGTGCGTGGTCTGCACCGTCATTTTGAAAGGGACCAGTTGGCTATGGGGGAAGAGCAGAGGTTAAACACCCGGAGAGGGACAATGTTTCTGCCCCCAGCCTACTGCCCTGGGTGGGGGCGAGATGTTCCACAGCCTGATGGTAGCATGCTGTGAGGGAACATCAAGCCCTGATGGTGCTGGTTTGGCTTTTAGTGCACGTCTAGATGGATAAAAAAAAAAAACCACCAAAAAAACCCTTTACCTTGTATTCCTGGACAGCATCCTGCACGGGAAGCATGGTGTGAGAGCGGTGCGCTCGGGACTCCCGGCAGATCGCGCAGATGAAGGCTCCATCCTCTTTGCAGAAGACTTTCAGAGGTTCCTGGTGCCTCTTGCACCCTTCCTCCTCCGCCGTCTCCCCTCTGGCCGCCTGCAAACTCAACCGCTTGGCTACTTCGAGCACCCGTGCCAGCTCTCGGCTGGGCCGAAGGTTTCTCTCCGGTGCTGTCTCCCGGCACTGCGGGCAGGAGAAGTTGGCCGTGGACCACTCCCAGCAGCGGGTGATGCACGCCCGGCAGAAGT